TCTCCTCGAATACTACCGCTACTCTCTACAGAAAAATCACGTTATTGCTATTACGTAGAGAAATTTGCTACGCATATGTTATTACACTTTCTCGAGTGTGTAGTTTTCTTTCCGCAGAAGGAATTTTCTAAATTATATCCCAACGTACGCGATTTTAATATGATAAAGATCCCATCTCTTATAATGGGGTGCAACCATATATTGCGATTAAATAAGTATATGAAAACGATCAGCCTTACATAATCCAAAACCGTTTTCTTTTGCCAGTAAAAAGATCTAGGTTTCCACAAGTCGTATGGATTTTAAGCAGCCATTACGTGAACAATTTCTTTATGTTCTAAGTTTAATCCTAGACATACTTAAAAGGTCAATTTCATTGACTTCTAAGGTGTGGCCCAAGTAGCTGGAGGCCACGTTGTAAGTAAAATCTCTAGCATCTTAGTTTTAATTGAGCCAAATGTTATAAGATTCAAAGAAATAAGCCGACTGATTATTAACTCGAGATGACGAAAAGACAAGAAAATTTTAATTGTATTCTTGACAAATAATTCGAGGTTTACGTGAAATTTTGGGCCATGTCTCAGTTGTTATAATACTTCATAGTTACAGATATTATAATAATTCTCTGCGGGAAAAGAAATATCTAGGTATATCGAATTTTCAAAAACTACGTAGACGATGTGGGGGAGATTGGGGCTGGTTGTTACAGGGGTAAAATGATACAGCTATAAAAAGTAGGTTCATGAAACCGTCTATAAAAAACGCTAGATTATAGCGATAAACGCATTTTGAAGCTAAATAATCATATATTTCATAATTGTTAGCGTTTCTTAGACGGTTTCATGATGAACTTGCATTTTATAGCTGTATCATTTTACCCCTGTAACAACCAGCCCCAGTCTTCCTTACTGTCGCGGACTTTATGTGAGCTCTATATATCGAAGAGATAAACGATCGCGCGTCGTTGCGAATGTGGTGTGTGGAGCTATAGGACTCCGGCTTCGTAACGCGAATTTCCGTTGGGCAATCGCGGTGTTTCCTTCGGGGAGCAGAATTAATACATACATTCTTGGCCTCCGAACGACGTGTCGGACTTTCCCAATCTCACGATTTCTCGCTCGCGATGTTGCGAGGCGTCTCCGATAACCACCGCCCGTGGAGGATCATCGGATGGACGGATGGGCGCGTCGCGAATCAGATCCGATTGAGAGAAAAGGCATCGGCACCTCCGGGAAACGAGACGCACGGGGAAGGTCATCCGCGAGCTCCGCGCGCCTGTATTTCTCAACACGATATCGACGCTCCGAATTCCTCGATCGCATGCATGAGGAACGGCGAAAAACGAAAGAGAGAAAGAAGGCGCATTACGACGAGGCGTACGCGTGAAAACGGAAAGCGCGGAGGATCTAATACCATCCTCGAAGTGGGTCAAGTATTAATCAAACATTCGATACGGATTAATCGATCATCTCGTCAACTACTTTGCAAATGCATGCACCGGAACGGATTTAACGTTCATCTCTCCTTTTCAATCAATACCTTTCGTTCAGAAATATTTTCATATTTCAATTTGTATAATTACATATTTTTGATTATTATATTTATTCTCCGAAACTTTTTAACGTCGGATTATTATTATTGAAGATATTTATTCGTCGTCGTGCAAACAAGACTTTTATCACGATCCTCCCTTACAATGCGCAATCCCTGCAATTTATATTCCAGATCTGCGTACGCATTTGGCGTTTCAAGGTGCGTGAGGACTACTCCTCCGCGCGGCCGTGACAAGGCAGCAGCGCGCGCGTGCGATTGCGACAAAATATCATCGCGATATCGACGCTGCTCCTCGCAAAGCGTTCGGTATTTTTACGCTGATCCGATACGTTCCATTCAGCTGGAATCGCACGCGCAAATTTTTTTCCCCCCGTCGTGGTTGTCCCGGCCTCAGGAGCCAACCCGTTAGGACAGTCTAAATGTGGAAGGTCGTTCGTTGGCACCGGCACCGGCCGCAGCCCGGCCCTTAACACCGTCGAAATTCCTGGGACCTTTAGCGCCAGCCTCGAAACGCCCTCGTGATGAACAAAGACGCCGAGAAAGAGACAAGAGGGAGGTAGGAGAGCAAGAATTGGAATGCGAAGCGGAGCGAGAAGGAGCTTGGCCGGACGACCGCGCTCGTCCGCGTGACGTAGGGATTATTTTGGGATCGCGCGCGGATTCGAACAGCAGATCAGAGGAGGACCCGCCGCGGTCGTTTCACTTTCTACCGGATCGGAAATTTTCGAGCGGGGCAAAAGTTGCCTCGACCTTTTCGAGGAAGCCTCGCGCGCCGCGCGAGATTTCATTAAAGTCACGCGCGATTGCGAGAAACTTTCACGGATTGATGCCTCGTCGTAGTCACCGCGTGCCGCCGGTTTTTCAATTCTAATAAAAATAACGGATCCTGACTTGGAAATAATAGATTTAAAGATAGCGATTTTTTCGCTTTTCTTTTCAAGATAAAAAATATTAGACATTTCTGGTTTGCGTTTGACATTAAAAAGATGAATCTGGATTGCTTTTTAAATACTTTTTAAATGCTTTTTAAATGTTGCGTTAAATTAAGTAACTTCTTCAGCCTGCATGGATATTGATGTACGTCTTGAGCAAGATCGTCAGTGGACTGTGTATGTGTGTGTGTGTGTGTGTGTGCCTCGATGCTTCTCGGGTAGAATAAAAAATTTGTTCTTCATTAAACCACGAAAGACGTCCAACATTGAAAGATGAGAAGTTACGACATGTCCAGCAGCGACATAGCTTCTGCGAAATAATAATCAATTTTGTATCCAATTGCCGAGAGACGGAGAGACAATGTAATACTCTGAGATAATCCGCGTAACTGCAGAAATCTTGCAAATTGTGCAAATTCGCGAGACCTTAATGACAGCGTCGCGTGCGTTCACGTTCACCTCGGAAATCTCAGAATGCGAACAACGAATGCGCGTTTCTCGCACGTCCATGCGTAACGCGTGGCGCGATTGTTCGACAATCATTTGCCAATCCGTCGTGTTTGCGTGCGTCCGACGATAAGCGTAACAATGGCGAACAAAGGCAAGGTTGCGAAGGATGGCTGCGCCCGCGCTCGGTATTACAAATCGCGACGCGACGGGGGGAAAGGGAATCCGTTCGACAAGGGTGCGGTACCGCGATAGCCCGTCGTCCATTAGGTCCCCGACAATAAGGTCCCGAGTCCGGCGCTCGCTGTCGCCACTCCGCACTCCGCAACCGTATCGCAATTCTATTGTATCGCGGATCGCGCGCTTACCACTGCCGCGGAATTACGTGGCGCGGGCAAACATCGCGGTCGGCTCGTGACCGCCGACCATTCGGACCATTATCCGCGCGCGAACGACGCGACGTTCCGTTCTGCGGTTGCGGCAAGGGGATATTTTCGAGTATCGAGTGGCTACGGCCGCGGCCGCGTCAGACGCCGGATCGAGGGAACGAGTAAGACTCCTGGCATTTCGCAAGAGACGCGCGGGTTGTCGCGGATAGATTCTGTCATTTCCTGACGGTGATTCCTACGCTGTTAATTAAATATCAAAGAATATTATTTTTAACCACCACATTTTTTTCTGTGCCGAAATTTATTATTTTAACTCCATTGGTTTGACTTAAATTAATAGTATTTTAATTAAATTAACGACATATATATATTTAGTAGAAGCAGTGGCGATCTATAGGAATGGTTAAAAATGACTGAAATTGAGTGTACTTGAACAGTGTATGACTATAATGTAGATCAACCTTTCATCTGGAAAGGTCCAAGCACTTTTCCAGCTACTGGTGATTAAAAATAAGGAGACCCTAAATTTTATCGGAGGCTCCAAGTAATGATAGTATATAGTATATTTTGATTTCGATCGATTTCAAGAGCGGATCTCGATAGAATTTTCACTTGAGGAAACTCGCGTTGGACGACGACTTCCCTTGATATGCACGCCGAAGAAGGATTGGCGTCAAACCGACCACCTGTCATTCAAGTATAATGAGGTAAAAGTAGGACACGCCGCATAAGTATGAACAATACGTAGCGTCGACTGTAAGGCGTATTTTGAGATTCCACCGGTTCTTAATCCTGATATAAGCTCGCTTTAACTCAGCGGGCGTACGACGTTACAAATCCTCAAACGTTCGAAGACTACTAGCGTGCGAAAAAAATCGCACACGTCGCGAATTTACGGATTCGTAGCCATAAGTACATCTACGCGCGTAACGAACGAAAGAATTCGAGGAGCTATGCACACGAACGTATGGAATAGAAGATTGAAAAATGTATGAATATTTGGCACGTACACGTTTGGTGCTCGATTAATCTCGATCGTGGGAACAAAAATTCACGCGTGTCAACCTTTCTCGAAGATTATGGATTATCCTAATCGCGCATGAATTTGTAGATAGAACACAGTTAAATATTAAAGAATGAATATTAAACTAATACCTTGAGTTAAACATTGTGTTTATTTCAACTAATATGCGTGGTAGTAGATAGTTGGCAAAATTTATTATTTAAACACAAAATATTATTATTTCACGTCCAATGGTTTAGTTAACGTAACATTATTTTAATTAAAATAACGACATGTTGAGGAGGAGCACTGGCGACCTGTAGAAATGCTTAAAAATGGCTGAAATTAAATTTGACACTACGCCGTTAACAGTAAAAGACCCCTACGCCACGCGCGCTGGTGCCGTCCAACGATAGACCGTAACGTTCAGATCGTGCGTGCGTGCAAAGGTCCGAAACCTCTGATCAGTCGCTCGCGTCCCGTCACTCGTGCTCGCCTCGGTTAAATATCCTTCACATTCACCGAGAAGCGTATCCATGAAAGGCTCGCGAGCGTCATTATAATCTCAACGCGCTCTGACAAGCGGAACGCGAAGCGGGCGCGGGTGCTTTAAATAACTCGCGGTTTAGCACCGGAAGTTTCTCGGCGGGGTGGTTCACCCTAGTGAGAACTTACCCTCTTGATGACCGGCGGCGACGAGCGCGCAGACCAGCAGCAGACGAAAGAGGAAGACCTGGCCGCGCGAGGCGGTCGCTCCTCGTCGACACCTCGGCATCTTCGCGGACCCCGTCCTCGATGAGTGGCTTGCACACGGCGGGTGCCCTACGGGGTCACTCGCAGCTCATCGCGCGACCAAGAGCGACCGACCGGTCCCCATTCGACGCGGGTGTCGCGTCGGCGGATCCGCGCGCCAGCGGACGTGTCAACTGTCAGTGCCGTTAGCCGCACGCGGGAAGGACCATCGCCGTCAGGCCGAAGAACGGCGCGTTCGTACGCGAGCGCGGCACGCTTGTCACTGGCCAGGGTAGAGCGGGTAGAGCGGGTAGAAAGCAAAATCCGACTTTCACTTGGCCGAGGCGCGAGCGAGCTCGAGGCGGAGCTGGCACGTCGAGGCCGCCAGGATCCACCGTCCCTTCCATGCAACGGCCTATGGATCCCTCCTCCGTCTTCTCCTCCTCCTTCTCTTTCTCCTTCTCGGTAAAATCGAGACGGGTCTTGCCCGCTGCGTGCGTTTTGGCGCTCGTGAAAATGATCGGGGACAGGACGCGACAGCAGGACCGACGGGCAAAGGGGTACGTCGACGACGATTCCCCGATGACAATGGCGGCGGTCCATCCGCCCTGTTGACGTTCTTAGCGCCTCACGGGAATCGCGCGCGGGGAAACACCAGTTCTGCATCTCTGCGCCTTTCCATTTGCATGACTTTTAGCTTCGCGCCGGGATTGGAGTTAACTTGAGTCGACGGCTCCGATAAAACGGAAAGCACTTATCGCACGCAGAAGTCGATGTGCACCAACGTCTCGAAGAACTGAAAAATATATGAAGACATATAATTAATATATTTTTTAAAATAAATTATTTTGTGTAAACGTATACTTATATATATCGGTTTACAATTTAAACTTTATTGTATTCTGTATGATCTACATCTAATTAAATGAATCACTTTCAAGTTTCTTATTCTCTGGTTACATATCACGAAGAGATATATTTTTGTGTTTTCCCACCCCTCTACTTTTCACGTCGTTACGGAACCAGAGTTAATCAGAGTCGACACATAATACAAATTAAATGGAAAGTAGATATGACAAGTCGGCTGGATGGAAAGTACCTGTCGCGTTTCACACAGCGATGGCATATAAAGTATCTTAAAAATGTTTTTAAAAAATGTTCCATTATTTAAAAGCAAGATCTCTTTCTCTCTCTCTTTCTTCACATTCAGTAAAAAAGGCGCAAGCAAGGACTTGAATATAGAATAAAATTACCAAAGCAAATTTTGTCTTCTTTTTATATACATAGAATGAGATTCTTTATTTTTCAAATTAATTTTACCAATAATTTTCAGTGCGCTTTATATGACAAATCGATTTATTCAATTTAGATGTAATTTATATATCTTTCTGCCTATGTTTTCGATTCTTTAAATCTCTTAAAGATACGGATCGGCACTTAATTACTACTAGTGTACGCTCATGCATGCGGATATCGCCAAGTATTAATAAGATCACCTTGTTACTTCTAACTGTTCACCTTGATTCTTCATTTCTGGAAACAGGTCCATCGATGAAGCCAAATGGCTCTCTCAGGATCGACGACCATGAAGGCGAAGACACACTGAGAGATCACTATTTTCTCGGTCGAGCGAACGGCCGATGAACGTTGAACGAACTCTCAAATTCTATAGCGAAAACAATCCTTTTGCTTGCAAATTATTCGTCGCGAAAACGTTGCACACGCTCTCTGAGCGACAGTGTCGTTTTCATCCTAAATATAATACTTCTGCAACAAAAGTGTGTATTTTCAGAAAAAGAAAAAGACTTCAGTGTGCGAAAGAAACATTCAAGATCTACAAAGACGATGTAACGATGCCGATTTGCACTCCACGTATGGAGCGAGCCTCGATCGTACTAATAACAGGAAACGCTGCTGCAATAATCTATCTAATCGATCGCGTTACTCGAACAGTGAGAAATACGATTCACCGCCGGCGAGCCGGGGAATCGGATTTCAGGGTCTCCCACGGCATTTCCTCGACCTCCGGGCAGGCCTTCGCAAAAATCTGCTCTCTCAAGTCCATCCTGTTACCCCACCCGTTCGTTAACCCTCACCGGTCGCGCCTGACCTTTACCGGGTCCGCCCGTAACGTCGAACGTACAGATTGATTCACATCCGGACAGAGGCAGAGGCAAAAAGGCGTAGCAAGGTCGGGACAGCCGGGAGAAAGTCGGCGTCGTCGCGCGTCGCGTGATGTACGTCGATCGGTGATGATCGCTCCGGTATCCTTTCTATGTATCACGCTTGGTATGATTAAATCCGAAGTCCGTTCTCACTTTTGTCGCCAAGTGGAAGATCATTGCGCGTCGTTCACGCGAGATTTTGTTTTCTTAAAATAATCAGAAAAAAACTTATATAATCCTCAATTATATTATTATATAATTCTCCTGATCCCCTAATTATATTGTCAAGTGAACGTACTTCGATCGCAGTTCAGTTTCAGTGAGAATGCACTTTTCGAAATGCTGAAAAATAATAACGTTTTTAAACAAAGTTGAAGGCAGCCTCTCTTTATAAAGAAGATGAAAAGATTTCAGACTGATGCTTACTCAGCAAATATCTCTACGACACTTACACAATAAAGGCAACGAGTATTAACTAAAAGCAAAAGAAATACGTGCCTTCTCATAAAGACCAGTGTCACTCTCGCGACATCCCGAATATTTTATCGTTGTAAGAGGCTTTGCTTTCCACGAGTGCCGCGGCGGTCTTCGTCGCGAGCACGCAGGCTGGGATGTTAAAATTTCGTAAGGATTCCGTGAGAATCCCAAAGTGAGACTCTGCTCCACTCTGCCCTCAATTGTTTCACGCGCGCGTTACCTAATGACGTAACGCTCGGCTACGTAGGAGTATATAGGAGTTCACCGGCTGTTTAGCTTATATACCGATTTATATTCTTACCGCGATAGCAGGAAGTGCAACGCGCCGTTGTGTATCGTAACGGTACACCGCGAGGGATAATATAATGTAGATATCCGCCTGGGCGTTTATTAGGCAACGATACCTGTCGATACCTGTTCCGATAAACGTTATCGCGAACACACGCGAGAAATGTTCCACGGCTATACAAATTTTTATGTAGATGTAGGCACTATATAGATGGAACGTGTGTCTGCGCGATCGAATCTGTAATAACGTACGCGCTATATTGAAACAATGTATAATACAAAAAGGGGAACAAGACAGTTACATAAGAAATATATACATACATATAAAATATATATATATATATATACATATATATGATACAAATAAAAATATATTGATTTAGTGACAGCATTCTGCTTGCTATTATTTCATTTAATGTTATTTGGAATTTTTTTTAGGATTCTACACATTCGGAATAATGTATATATGTATTGTACGTTTTGGAAATATCAATGGAGTGTTTTCTGTCAATATATTACTCTCATTTTCAAACAATTCATTTTTCAATTACCGTAATGCTTGGCGTTCGAAACATCAACAGACTTAGGCTGCGGTCCACTTGACGCTACAAATGCTTCGGAGCGTTCTTCTTCTCCTTCTTTCTTCATTGAAAGAAAAGAGAAGAGAAATGCTTCGAAGCATTTGTAGTGTCAAGTGGACCGCAGCCGTAATATCCGTCGTGAAATCGTCTCGCTTCATATCCAGCATTGAATTCTTCGATATTAGAATCTTTAGAATATTCAAGCATTGAAATCACCGAGATTTATCGTATTGATCCATAAGGCACACGTTTCGAATCAAAATCATGTTAGTGTCGCCATCTAAGAAACATCACCAGAACTAACTAACGAAACTTATTGCCATCTTATCAAGTTAATTCTTGTAAAAACAAATTAATAAATTAGAATAATTAGATACTTTGTGAAATGTAATAAAAATTTTTAATATAAACTGGAACAGTATCCTTATTGATTAATCGCGCTAACGAGAAAAAAAAAAGAAAATTCAATTGATTAATTCTATGCTTTACAAATTTTATCCTCACGCGTTTGTCTTTATGTAAAAAACAAAAGCATTTGGCTGATGTTATATATATATATGTACATTCTGAACAAAATACTAGATTATGTATTTTGAAAATAGGGTAGTGTCAAGAGCCAAAGGATTACTGGAATAATGTAATTTGTTTAATGACAAAATAGTAATATCTTTTAATGATTTTACAATAACCATTAACTTTATTATTGGAAAATCAGTACGACGTTCTCCCAATTTTTCTTATTCCACTTTAATTCGCGTAAATTTAGATGAGACAAGCGTATCGAATACATTGCAGTTCTTGCACCGTAAAATAATTATGTTACACACGTTTACCGACATTCTGTGAAATTTAATATTATTCAACAGTAATATAATATTATATGCTTGCGCTACAATATCTCATAATGCAATACAATCTCACAGTTGTGTAGACGTGGCATTTAATTATTTTATTGAATCCTATACAGGCAATAATTCAATGTGTAAAGTAATTCAATTTAACTACAGCTAAATTCATTCATTTCTGTTACTGTTATGCGTCATATGTGTATGATATTTCGATGTAGATCATTCTTCAACTGAAACAGAAACAGAGATATTTAGTACAGAAACAGATGTCGCATTTGTTTAAGAAAACAAAATGTTAAGTTTTGTTATCTTTGTTCTGTGTATTGAAATTTACTTTGTAGTTGATCTTCTCGATGGTTCTGAAGCAGTAGGAGGTGGTGGAGGACCCCTACGTGCTAACTCTTCCAGATAGCCCATTAATAATCGAGTCCGTTCAGCGGCTGCAGCCTCGAGCACGAGAAATCGGCGATCCTTTCTAAGAATTTCTTCGATCTCTGCTAAATGCGTACTATTCTCTTGAACCTTTTTGTACGTTTTGTCAGTGATTAGTTTCGTTTCCTGAAAACGACACATTTTCTTGACCAACAGTTTTACCGGGTTTTTAAACGGTATATCGCGAGTTTTAATTAAACGCACCTGTAGGAGCTCCCTAAAGTCAGCTTTGGCAGCAACGAGTTTGTCCTTGATATATTCCTTAAACTCCTTTTCGCATTTCTAAAACGATAAAAAAATATATGATAAAGTAATAATATATATATATTCAGAATCTTAATTTCTTTTTACTTTGAAACCAATGATCACGTACTCGATCGCTAGAAGAAAATTTTAAATATCTAGGATCATCTTTCAACAGTTTCTTAATGTCTTTCCAGGATGCCGTTAGCTCGGTCGACGCGCCTACTTCGTCGAGCAATTCCCGAAATTTGTCGCGCTTCTTGCGGCCCAATTGTTCAATGTGTTCGTTAAACAATCGTTCTTTCTCCTCGCGATCTAAACTTTCAGCCAACTCCCACCTATGATCCTTCCTCAATTGTCGTTTCGCTTCTCTCCACGCCAGATCGCCGTTCCTTACCTAAAATTGAAACAAATATAA